GCTTTTCTTTTTTCCTCCTCCCGCTCCCGCCCTCGAGATCCCTTGATAAATCATAAGTTATTATTGTTTTCCTATCATACACAGACCACTGTGGGGGCAATCATCGAGATTGGTTCCCCTGCCCTCCCCTCCTCCCCCAACCTAGAAGCTCTTCTTGCCAGCGTCATCTTGACTTGCTAAGTTGTGCCAGACCAGCTCCCTCCTGCCTCTTTGTTCCATGACTGAAACTGTCCCTAGGTGAAAGGTAGTCGAGAGGCGCCAGAAACCAAATCAGTCGAATTAGAACAAACAGGCTTTATTAGGGAGGAAAAAAACCAGTCTGGGCGAAGTCCCACAGTCCACAATGTCCGGGCTGGTGGAGTCCCACTGCAGGCTACAGGGCTGCTGCTTATATGGACAGGTATGTCCGGCTTTCTGGAATGTAAGGTGTCTTCCTGGTTCCGGGTGTATTCATGCCGGGCGCAGAGCGGTGGGCAAGATCAAAGCGGGCACTGAGCCAAATGGGCCGTGCTGGGTGCAGAGCGGCAGGTCAAGAACAAAGCGGGCCATTAGCCAGCTCTGGTCAGCTCTGCAGGTGTGTGTGGGAGATTCAAGGCCACTTGCTGCTAGTTGTTTCAGCTAGCTCTGGTCAGCTCCACACGGGTGGGGAAGACTCAAGGTCACTTGCTGCTAGAAGCCAGCCTGGTATTGGTATTGATCTGGCCATACACAAGGACCACCAAGTTGATTCTGACTCATAGCAACCACGTGTTTCCGAGACTGTACATCTTTCTGGGAGCAGACGGGCTCCAGCGGCTGGTGGGTAAGGACCGCTGTCCTTGCCTACACAACAGCATCACCAGGGCTCTGTTCACAGGATGAACTGTTTTGGAATTACCTTTAAACACACCCAGTATTACTTGGGGAGCCCTGTTGGCTAACTACAAAATCAGCAGTTCAAAACCACCAGCCGCTCCTTGGGAGAAAGACGGGGCTTTCTTCTCCTGTGAGCAGTTAGGCTCTCAGAAACTCACAGGGCAGTTCGATGCCCTGTCCTATAGATGGGTCGTAATGAATCGGCACCAACTCAGTGGCAGTGAGCTGGTTGGTTTTGGGTTTATAATGGTCCCAACTGTAGGCCTGCGGGGCACAGAGCACACAGTAGTTGGCCTTCTCTATGAAAGCTCTTCAGATACACGGAGAGCATCCAGTGGGAGCCTTCCTGCCCAACACCTTCTTTTCCCCACCACCAGTCAGCCTCGGCTCCTTCCACCTGTCTTCAGGTGCCATGTTTTCAGAGTTTCCATCCAGCGCTTCTTCCTTCAGCCACTCACAGCATCTTCTAGCTTTTGAAGAAGCAGCTAGAGAACCGTTTCCATGAACTGTCCTCTGTTGATTTATTTTCTCTTGATCTGCCCCCTTCCTCAGGTCAAGTAACTTTCAGTATCTTAGCGAGAACTATGTGTTATCAAGGACCACCCCTCCCCAGCCCCTCCCAAAAGGATAAGGATCTTATCTCATGTCTTAATCAGTGGTCTCAACCTTCCTAATGCCTGGACCCTTTACTACAGTTCCTCATGTTGTGGCGACCCCAACCATAACATTATTTTCCTTGCTACTTCGTAACTGTAATTTTCCTACTGTTATGAATCATCATGTAACTATCTGATATGCAGGATGTATTTTCATTGTTACAAATTGAACATAATTAAAGCATAGTGGTTCATCACAAAACAATATGTGATTATATATTGTGAGATATTTATGTGTTTTCCGATGGTCTTAGGCGACCACTGTGAAAGGGTCGTTCGACCCCAAAGGGGCCTCGATCCACAGGTTGAGAACCACTGTTAGATGGAACCACTCCGGCAACCCTGTTACTTCCCATGTTAGGACCCTGCCTCCCAGAGCAGCAGTCTTTCCACAGCGCCATCCACAAGGCTGTCAGCGCGGCAGGGCGAGGCTGAGCTACGCATCCTTGAGCTGACAAATCAAGTTTCAGGAGCCTCGGCGTTTCCTTTCAGAGGTGGCTTGGTGTCTGCAAGGAGCAGATGAGAGCGGTCCTCTGACACGGCTGAGCAGAGCAGCGTTTTCCTGCTGTGGCGCCCAGATGCTTCCGTTTTATCCCATGCCCAAGGCTCTCTCTTTGGGGTGGGGGCAAGTGATGGACTCACGTTAGACACGAAAGTCAAGTCCTTGGCTTCTGGAGAACTGCGGTTCTGTGCCCTTGGATCCAAGGCCGCCGCCTCTTTCCACTCCCGTCAATGCGCTGTCCTGTCGTTGTCAGAGTGAGGACCTTCCTTCCTTCCTCTTCAGCCTCTTTCCATGTGGTATGTAAATGGCGTGTTCCGATGGTTCCAACATCATTTCATGAACTACAGGACACTTAGGGGGGCGTCCCGTGGGTGTAGTGGTTACACGGTGGGCATGAGGCTAGCAGGTCGAAACCACCAGTCTCCATGAGACAAAGACGATACGTTGCATTCTCCTAAAGAGTTAAGAGTCCCTGAAGCCCACCAGGGCTGGAGTGGGAACAACTCAGTAGCAGGGTGTTTGGGGTATGAGACCCTTGGGCAGCATGTGCTGATGGTGATAATCACCTGGCTGTGCATATTTGACCATCTCTTGTGCATGAGAAGGGTTCGATCCGTGGTCCTTTGCATGCTGGGTCCTGTACCCATCCTTTGGGTTCTGACACTGTAGCCAGGGTTCCCACCTGGAACCTGTCGGCCTCTGGAGGAACCATATAGCAAGGACATTCTTGGGTTCCTTGGTCTTAAAGTTTATGCAAGGGCGCCCGTGTGTGTGTGTGTGTGTGTGTGTGTGTGTGTGTGTACTCGTGTGTACATTTTCCTGTAAGAATGACTGAGTAACAGTTTTAGGGTCCAGAACTTAAACAAGATAGGTTCTTTAATCTGAACAACTTATTATGGTGGTGTTG